CCCCAAAACCCCAAAACCCCAAAACCCCATGAGACGAGATTCAAGGACATAGAGTAAGGATATTATCAAAATATGAAATATTGTTTGGAAAGCGAAATTTTAATATTTTGTAAATTAGCAAACAATGGAGTATGACATCTACGACAACGTAACATTCAATAGCATGTTAAGATCTCTTTAATATCTTTGTAGTACTAGCATATAAAGGGATAAGATGTGTATGAGTACAGGAGAATTCCATTGAATAAGAAGTGCAAAAAGCTCTTTCGATAAGCTGATTTCTATGCTAATCCTATCACTTTAAGATACAAAGGAGAAAAGTAATAATAATCCTTGTCAATAAGTTTTCATATAACGTGTTCATAGAAAATTCTACACTAACTTTGGAGCCTTGACATCTTCATTGATAATAGCTGGAATGCTTGCACTCACAATATATCAAGTTACTCTGATGCTATCTCAAAGTTAAATAACGTTTCAAGAAAGCTCTTCACTTGCTCTTCCTGCTGCCTTTGAGCTAGGGTATGTATAATTTTATAATCAAAATTTCATTTCCTTATGGTTTTTTAGAGTAGATAATGGCTTTACCTTTGCATTCAGATTGTATAATAAAGACACAAAAAAGACTTTCGATTACAACCAATACTTTAACGTTTCTATTATTCAGATAAATAAAACTTGGTATAACTTCATATTTAATCATAATGCTTTCGAATAGGGTGTGAGCCTAAGATAGAACTCTAAACGAGCGCTCTTAACAAAGTCTAATTCCGATGCAGACATGTTCTCTAGAATAGTTTAGGAAAGTCAAAGACATAGATGGAGATTCCATAGATAGACTAAGGATTAGTGAATTTACATGTCCTTGGGGTTAGCCATTTTATGTGAAAGGAAATGAGTAGGATTAAAACAGTTAATATGTGCACTTATCAATAAAGAAGTGTTAAACTTAAAGCATAAATGGATTGCGGTGCAAAAATAAGAATGAAATAGACTCTATAATTAGTAGGCTGGAAGTTTAGTTTATGTTCCTTAATGCAAATTTTGATTAGTAAGACCTTGATGATCCTATTAAGAATTACATGGACACAAGATTGTTCGAGGATCTTCTGCCAAATAATAATCTTAAAAGGATAAATATATATGTTAAGAACAGTTCAGCAAACTTATTAAATGACTATCTAAGAATTGATGCGCCTGTTGATTTGCAGTTTTATCAGGTAAGCTAGATAGAGAAGTACATTAACACGTATAATGATGAGGATGGAGAGCTTGTAAAGATAGTAATTTAAGCATCAAGCTATAAAGCTGTGTATGAGCGTAGAGTATATTCACTGTTTGATGTATTTGCAGCTCTAGGAGGTATTTATAACTCCCTGTTTACTATTGGATTCTTATTTTGTGCCGCTTTCAGCTATAATTTGTACCTTTCCTCTCTCATTAGAAAGCTTTATCACTTTAAAGCAAGATTTGAGAGTGAGCTTCCTAAAGATAAGAAAAATAAGAAAAAGGGTTGAAAAGGAAAGGATGAGAATTAGAAAGATAACAGAGAAAGAAGTAATACAACAGAATATGAAAGTTAGGCAGGCTATATTGATACTAACAACTCTATAAATAATTAGCAGGATTGGAGAGAGCAGCTCTAAAGAGAACAAAACTTAGGAGTGAAGGAAATCAAGGAAGAGGTCAAGTAAGTAATCGGAAAGGACAACAAAGCTAATTTCAATCATAAAACTGTGAGTATACTTAAGAGTTTGATATGCTGTTTAATTCTCAGAAACAGGACTAAACTAAGAAATGACCCTAGCAGAAGAAATGTACTTTATTTTTTGAAGGGAAGATAAATGCTCAACAAAGAAATGGATATAGCTTGGATAGTACATTAGATCAGAAAGGTTAAATATCTTATGAAAATACTTCTTGATAAGGACTAAAGAAGATTGTTTCAGCTCAAAAGGACTTAACAAATAAGTTCAGATGAGGGTTACGATGAAGATGATTATAAGAAGAAACTTAGGAAAGATAAATTAATCGATCTCTACGTTGATGTTCTGAGAACTAAGAAGCTGAAGAGGAGTGATAATAAACTGCTCGAGATAACGGGATTTAAGAATGTACTGTCCATCCTTAATTCTTAAAAAGCTTATGAGAAAGTAGCAGCTGAGTGGTAAGCTAATGAACTTTATTAAAACGAATAACCTCCACCGACTCCATAGCTAAATCAATAAAATTCAACTCAATCAGTGATCCCTGCTCCAAAATATTTTGACACTATTTCCAGCGCTTCTAATTTCTATGGTATGACTTCTTTTAATAAAGGAGTATTTACCAAGAGTACGATCATGAGAACTCAGAACATGAATGATAAGAGAGGTTTGCATTCACATCAAGCCTCAAGAGATATGATTAAGACTTAGAGTAGTGAAATCTATGATTAGAGTTTGGATTTAAAAGAAAGGAAGCATTCGCCGATATCTCTGGAAAGATAGAATAAAAAGAATAAACTTCCTAGCTAGAGCTATAATCGAAATTTTAACATTAATGAGAATAATGCAGATTACTTTTATGAATCCCCTGATATGGGCAACTCAATAGAGGATTATAGTGGCCTTGATACAATGGATGATAAAAAGGATAGAGACACTAGCAATGATAACAAATTAAACACGAGCAATATATTCTTCTCAAAGTAAAATCTCTCATCAATCTAGAAAAATGGAAGCAAAATGAAGGAATATCAATAACTACATGAATAACTATTGTAACATCCAGACAAAGAATTTTTTACTGGTACAAGCTTCAGAAGAAATTTCCCAGAGAGAATGAAAATTGAAAGCATTAAATTATAACTTAGAAAGGAAAGTTAAGGCTAATTCTTGACTGATAACTTAGCAGCAGGAGGAGTGCTTAACTAGAATGAAAACAGAGGTCACATTAAAAACATAATGAGTAGAAACGAATTGAATTTCTAGACTTTACTTGGAACCACAGATGATTTTAATACATAAAACACTCTTGAAGAACTAATTGGTGAAGTTCAGGATAGCCCTAACCCTCACCTTCCTAGAAAAACTAAAACTAGAATTAAATGGAATTAGAGATGAAATAATTTTATTATGTATGAAACTATATGATTATGAAGAGAAAATTGATATTAATTAAACTATATAGTTAATTTGAATTTCAAAACTAATCTCCGACTTGAAATCTTGATATTCTGTCTCATGGGGTTTTGGGGTTTTGGGGTTTTGGGG